TCCCCCCCCCTCCCCCAAACCCCGCCAGCCTCACCAGTCACCGCGTGCGGAACAACAGTGATGAGCAGCCGCTGGCTCCGCACCTTCACGCCCTGGTCGGGGTCCTGCATACTCACGACCACCCGCTCCATCTGGGCGAAGGGGGACTTGAGGGGGTGCCCTGGCTGGCCTCCTCCCACCCCAGATCCCGATTCCACGGACCTGGCTGGGATGCCCGGATCAGTGTGCTCAGAGATTAACCCGCACAGATGGCGGGATTTCAGGCTACGCTCGCAGAGGAGCGCGGGGGCGGGACGGAGGCGAGGGGCACCCGCTCCAGCGCCCGGAGTCTCCGTCGCCCAACCCCGCCCCACACAGTACCATCGCTACCAGGCCCGCGCCCACACTCGCGCTCGCGCAAAGTCCGCACTTGCGTGCATCAGCATTCACTCCTCTCCTGCTCCTCTCGGCCTCGATGCTGGGAAATCCCGGGACGACGGGACTCCCACCCAGCACCCACCTTGCTCAGGTGCGGCATCTGCGCACCGGGGCGCCGGCCGGCGGCCATGGCTGCGAGCAAGGCTGGCGGGGTATTGGCGTCCCAGCCGTCCCGCCCCGCCCTGCCCCGCCCCGTGCCGGAGTTAACCCTCCGGAACCTGCGGTTATTCTTAGGTCCCATTCTAGGTCTGGAAACGGGCCGGCGCTCGACCTGCCACCGCAAGGAGTGGCCCGCCACGTCACAAGAAACAGAGGCCCGTGCCCGCAGGGACTTGCCGGGAGCCCGAATGCCCATGGGAGGGGCCCCGAGGTGGGAGGCGGAGATGACCGCTCTGGGGTGGAGGGCTTAGACAGGGGTTTTGTGAGGGAATAGGGGTTAGGATGAGGCAGGGTTGAGGGGCTCAGGAAGAGGAGGGTGGCTCAGAGAGGTGATGAGGACTCAGGGAGCGGATAGGAGCCCAGGGAAGGGGAGGGGTCTCCACGAGGGAAGAGTGTGCAGAAGAGGGGACTTGCCGGGAAGGTGGATTGGGGTGGGGGTCAGTGGTTTAGGGTCTACTGTAACCCCTGCCCCCCATTCTCACCCCATGTATGGTGCCCTCAAGATGTGCCAGGACTAGGGGTAGAGAGGGCTGTGGGGTCAGGACGAGGGTTCTCACTGCCCTAGGAGTGTGCCCTTTCGATTGTGCGACACCATGGGTCATGGAGTGGATGCCACCAGGACCATGTGACACTGCCTGGCTGCACAGGGTACTAGATGTGAATCCTTTGAGACTTAAGGGAAGTTGGTAGGTGGCTCACTTTGCCAAACCTGCACAAGGAAGTGGAGCCAGTTGAACAGACAGAGACTCCACCCGAGATACCTCAGTACTGTGGGAGAGGGGCTTTTGGGGAGAGAGAGGCTTTTGGAGGGAGAGAGGATCTCAACATTACCTCCCCTCGGATTGGGCAGCAGCCTCTGGGCTCAGGGCCCAGTTGCAACACTTTCTCTTCTTCCTCCAACAGCTTGGCCACCCCCACCCCAGACTCCCTTTGCTGGGGCCATTTTTAAGGGATGCAAACAGGTCCATTTCTGCTTCGTGGAGGCAGAGTTCCCCTCCTCCCCTTTCCCTTCAAGGCATGTTGGGGACAGGGCAAGACGGGGTTTACCTTTGGCCAGCAGCCTTAGATGTGGTGATTTGAATCCCTTTCCACTGCTGGTAAGGCCAGGTCCAGCATGAGCTGGGGCAAGGGGACTGGAAGGGGCTCCTACCCCTGCTGGGGTACCATCCTGCCTTAGACATCAGCGAATTCCTCCCACCCACACAGACGCAGTCAGGCTGTCCCCAGGCCTGGCTCCTCTCTGGACAAGTGGGCATCTATAGAGGCTGAAGCCCACCAGAGGCCAGACTGTGCCCAGTCTGGGATGAGTAGCTTTCCTGACTGATTTCCTACATTTCAGGGAAAAGGCAGCAAGGATGGGGTCCCAAAAAGACCTGGAGACCCCAAAAGGCTTCCAGGTCACCTCAGGGCTCCTTTGAACAAGGATAGGTCTAATCCCTGAGTGTCCTCAGAAATGGAGGCGGGGGCAGAGGGAGTCTAGAAAGAAGGGGGACTCGGGTTGGGGTTCTATCTCCTCCACTCAGACCTAGGCCACAGATCCAGCTGTCCCCAGCCAGATGTCCAGCTCACCCCTGTTCCCTGCCCTGGCTGACCCCCATCTACCCACCCCAGGGTTCGTTTAGGCGACAAGACCAGAAGTCCCCTTTGTGCCTCCCTCTCAACGTCACCACTCTGGTTCTGTTTGGCATCGGTGTCCTTTCCTCCTCAAGGAGAGCAGATTTCAGAATCGTCTGGGTCTCCAGAGCCTACAGAGACACAACCCCACCCCTACCACACGCACACAGCCGGGTCAAGGACCTCGGCCATGTACATATGCACTCTGGTGGCTCTGTGCTGACGACTGCGATCTACCTTGCCCGGCCAGAAGGCTGTGCAAACACACACGGCACCTCCCAGCCCCCAAGGCGGGTGCTGTGGGAGTGGGAGTGGGTGGGTGGGGTTCTAGGAGTCCCCTATGCCCAGATAGAAGCTCCGCGGGTGGGGAGCAGGAGGAGGGTGGGGACCTCCAGGCCCCAGGTGCGGCCTGCACTGCCTGCTGGTAATGAGAGCCTGGGGACATGGTGGGGAACGCACCTGCTCCACTCGGTGCCCCCAGTCCACCGGCCTCGCCCAGAGAGCTTCCCCAGAGACTCCCCGCAGACTCCCGCTGGCGCCGTGGGGGGTGGGGCAGCCCTGATGGTCAGAGCTGGGTGCAGTCGAGACCGTGACCGCGGCCGTGTGCGCCCGTGTCTGCGGCGGCCGTGCGGGGTCCGGGTG